CCATCGACCTATCGTCAGCTGAATTTTGACAAAGGGCTGAAATCCATTACATAGGGAAGAGATGGTCTCTTTAACAAATGGTGCTGGCAAAACCAGATATCCATTTGCAGAAAAATGAAACAAGATCCATACCTCACAGCATACACAAAAACTAACTGCACATGGATCAAAGATTAAATGTGAAACCTAAAATTATAAAGTTCCTCAAGGAAAAAATAGGGGCAAATTTAGGGGCCCTTATTTATGGTCTAAAGAGACTCTCAAGCGTAAGCCAAAATGTTTAAGCAGCAGAAGATAAACTAGATGAATGGGACCTTCTGAAAATTAAATTTTTATGTGCTTCAAGAGAGTTCTCCAAAAGAGTAAAAAGAGAACCTACACATTGGGAAAAAATATTCAGCAATGACATATCTGACAAAGGACTTATCTTTAAAATTTATAGAAAACTCCAACACTTCAACAATAAAAAGACAAACAATCCAATGGAAAACATGGGCAGAAGACATGAATAGACACTTCACCAGAGGAGATTCAGGCGGCCAACAAACACATAAAGAAATGTTCACGATCATTAGCCATTAGAGAGGTGCAAATCAAAATGACGAGATACCATCTGGACCCAGCACTAATAGCAAAGTTCAACAACACAGAAAATAACAAACGCTGGCGAAGATGTTGAGAGATTGGGACTCTCATACACTGTTGATGGGACTGTAAAATGATACAACCACTGTGGAAAGCAGTATGGCGATTCCTTAAAAAGTTGGAATTAGAAATACCATTTGATCCAGCAACTCCATTATTTGGTATATGTCCTAAAGAAGTGAGAGCCAGGACAAGAAGAAATACATGCACACCCATGTACATCGCAGCACTATTGACAATAGCAAAAAGATGGAAACCACCTAAGTGCCCCTCAACAGAAGAACGGATAACTGAACTGTGGTACATAGACACAATGAATACTATTCAACACGAAAGAATAATGTAGAATCTAAGATAACAGAATAGGCAGACAAGCTACACAGACCCTCTTCAACAAAGAAAGAGAAACCAACTGACAGAGATACAGAAGATAATCCTGGAGCTCTGAACTTTGGTAAGTAGTAAAAACAAATGGATTAGGCACCAACTAGTGGAAGAACCGGAATGAAAACAGTGAGTATGGAGATGGATGGAGCTGCGGACTGTCAACTACTCTGACAGCACCAACAGCCTGACTATTTCCAAGTGATGTTGGGACCTGAGAATTGACCTAAAGATCAGCTCTGGTCACCAAGGGCTGCAGGAACAACTGAGCTGGTGGCCGATGAGCAGGAAGGGACAGTAAAGAGGGAGACTACCTATGCTGTGGACTTCCGGCTGTCTGGAGGGGGCAGCCATTTTGATTGCTTACAAGCGGCAGCCATTTTGGATATTTAAAGTGACAGCATTCTCATTTGGATTCCAGGGACCTACTAAGAATAAGCTCTGCTTGCCAAGGACGACAGGGACGTACGGGAGGCTGGCAATAGGAAAGGTGACAGGTGGTGAGTGTGTAAGTGCTATCAACTAGCAAATACAGGAGCACAGTACCCTGCTTACTTACATAACATCCAAACAAAACAAAGAAAACAAAAATCTTGCACAAATCATTCCAACATACAATCACCAATTACATATAAACACAAAAACGTCACAATGTCTCAGAGACAACAGACCATTGGAGTCCACACAAAGAAGCAAGATAAAGTAAGAGAAACAAAGGACCAGGATACAGACCCAGAACACGTCCCTGAGGAATAAGGAGCATTGGAACTCCCTGACAAGGAATTCAAAAGAATTATATTTAGATACCTTCAACGAATTGAGAGACAGATCAAGGAAAACATTGACAAAACTGAGAAAAACACAGAAAACCCTAGAATAATATCATAAGACAACACAAGAACAAAATGACAAAATAAATGAAAGATCAGAAATCATACAAAATCTGCAGATAGAAATCCAGAAGATTAATACTAAATTTTCAGAAATAGGTAACACATTGAATGGGCAAAGGAGTAGAATGGAATCAATGGAAGACAGAATTAGTGACACTGAAGATAAATACCTTAATACTTCTTTGGAAAGGGATCAATCAGAAAAAAGATCAAAACAAAATGAAAAGAAAGAAGGCCGAAGGTTCATGTGGGATACCATCAAAAGGAATAAACTACATGTAATCGGAATTCTAGAACAGGAAGAGACACATAAAACGGCAGGGAAAATTGTTGAAGATTTCTTGGAAGAGAATTTCTGTGGTATGGTGAAAGATGAGAATGTATCCATTCAAGAAGTCCAACAGACAGAACAGACCCCAAAAGAAAATCACATCAAATATCATATCATCATCAAACTCACCAAAACCAAAGACAAAGAAAACAAGCAGTATGGGAAAAATGAAAAGTTACCTATAAGGGGCAACCAATAAGACTAAGTTCGGACTTCTCAGAGAAACCATGAAGGCAAGAAGACAATGGGATGGTATATATAAAACCCTGAAAGAAAAAAATTTCCAACCAAGAATATATACCCAACAATACACTCAACAAAACTGTCCCTCAAATATGATGGTGAAATTAGGACATTTAAAGATAAGCAGAAATTAAGGAAATTTGTTAAAACCAGACCAACCTTACAAAAGATGCTAAAGGGAGTTCTTTGGACAGAAAACCAACAACAGCAAACAAAAACTGACCATTAACACACATGATGACATAACCCAGAAACCAACCCAGTTATGAAAGTACTCAAAGTAAATAATCCTGTTAAGACTGTAAACAGGGAAACAGAGACATCAATTGACAAATGAGGACAATTACAAAGCAAAAAGAGGGAAAAAATTGTGTAGTTACAGAACTCTTAAATGGCAGGGAAGTCAAAACAACTGCAAGATAGAATGGACTGTTCCAAACTTGGGAAGAAAATTGTAAATCACAGGAAACATAGAGGGCAATGAGTTTATGTTAATGGAGGAGAAACAACTTAGAAAAGGAGAGTGACAATGTTTGCACGAAGACGGAGTACTGAAGAATGTGACCAATGTCCTTGAATTGAGATGGCTGAATTGGTGTATGTTTTGCTGTGTATATTCTCAATAACAACAAAAGTAAAATAAATTACATTAAAAAGATGGGGGAAAAAAACCCAATAATGTAGAATCTGCAAAGCACCACATAACGTGGATGAACTTGGAGGACATTATGCTGAGTGAAATAAGTCAATCACAGAAGGACAAATATCGTACTAGTTCATTATTATAAAGTCAAGGAAAGGTTTACATATGGAAGGAAACCTTCTTTGTTGATTAACATGGGTGAGAGGGGAGGGAAGGAAACATTGCAAAAATTAAAAATAAATAAAGAATTGAAACCTGTCCCGGGTATTCATCACAGTTTCATCTTATAAAAAACACTCCATGGCAGTGTAGAAAGTTACAAAAAAGTGAGACAACAAGAAGGGACACAGTTAGAAGGTTATTACATTAATGCAAAGCCAAAGGGGGTGGAGAATAATTTAGAAGGTAGACTCAATAGGACTTGATGGGCAACTGACTGCAGAAGTCAGAGAGGAAGCTGCCCAGGAAGATCCCCAGGTTTATGGCCTGTGCCTCTGACCAGAATAAAGGGTCAAAGGGAAAGGCAGACTTTGAGTGAAGGAGTGTGATGACATCATTTTAGTCATACTGAGTTTAAGGGGCTGGCTACTGGAAATATCGCATATGTTACTCAGGGAAAAGATCTGGAGAGTAGATACTAATTTGGGAATCATCGTATAAAGGTTTTATGTGTGCAGATTAAATTAGCCTGTGTGTATGTGTGTGTGAGACTAAGAGAGAGAGAGACAGAGAGAGAAGGCATGGCACAGAGCCTTGGGAGCAGCCAACAACAATTAAGGGGTAGATGGAAGTGGGATCGTCAACAAGGAGTCAATGCGGAAACAGCTAGGAAACTAGAAAAGCAAAACAAAGTTCTTTATGGTGCAGAGCAGCCAAGAGGACAAAGGGCCTAACAAATATCCACAGGCTTGTCAGCAAGGATCTTAGATGACACAATTTTGGTGAAGTAATGAAGTTAGGAATTAGGGTTGGACTGGGTTGATGAGTGACAGGAAGGTGAAGAGGTAGAAAATGAATGTAGGTGTTTCTTCCAAGAAGCATGACTGTACAGCTATAGTCACGGGGGATTTCAAGGTCAAGAGAAGGACTTGCTGTCAGATGGGTGAGTTAGTGTCTCAGGACAAAGTACCAGCAGAGAGGCAAAAGTAGAAAATAAAGGAAAGAGGTAGGAAAGAGCTGAGGATCAGAGCAGGCAGCACTGGGAGATGAGCTAAGCGGAGAAAAAGGAAGAAAGACAAGCATCTGAATCACAGCCTTTGACAAGGCCTTCATTTCTTCTCTCCTGTGGGACGAGAGAGTGGAAACCATGCAAACATGGAAAAGTCAGTAAGCTGAGGAAGACAGTGTAAGTTAGGGAAGCTTACATCTGGTAGCGTTTCTCTATAGAAATGTGTGGGTGGCACAAGCGGTTTGCAATTGGCTGCTAATCCCAAGGTTGGCAGTTCAAATCGAGCCAGTGGCTCTGTGGAAGAACTGCCTGGTGAACTGCTTCCATAATGACTACAGCCAAGCAAACCCTATGGAGCAGTAACACATGGGGTCATCGTGAGTCGGAACGGACCTGACAGCAACAAACAGCAGCAGCAGTTTCTATCTGGTTTGTAAAGTGGGATGGGAGGTTGAGGGCTGAGGGTAAGGGCAATAGCTTGAGAAAAACGACTTTCCCAACCTCAAGTATCCCCCACACTGTAAGGTCTTTTCAACAGAAGCAACAGTGAGGAAGGCAGAGAACGGCTCAGGGCAAGGCTGATGCATCCTGACCAGCAATGAGGATGCGGGCCAGATCCCAGCACTCTGACCACAACCCTGATGTCAAAGCAACACAATCTCCAGGAGTCTCTACATGGTGCAAATCTGTTACCTGCCAAAGGCTTCCACCATCGTACAATGAGGCTGCAAAGACTTGGTCCTGATTTCATTGGTAATGTTTTTCCTCTCCTTAAAAAAACGGCAGGAACCTTGGATGCCATCTTTGTTCTCTAAAATCATATGAATGGGGTAGACATCCTCCAAAGGGACTGGGTCCCTCTTAGACTCCAGGATTCCGGTTTCAAAATCAATTTCCTCATACCTATGGGAAAAAGCAAACATAAAACCACAACTCAGCTTCAGAAATGATACCCATTTGGTATGTTCTTTGACAACCCCCAGCAAAGAAAGAGGAAGTGAGCAGGTCAATGGGTCTACCTGCTTTGCAAACACAGATAATCTTGACAATAGGGTTCCTGCCACTCAATCCCAGATGACACAGACCTTTCCAAGATGCCCCAAATCCACCCCAGATACTGATACTGGGACCAGAGCCACCTTACTGGCCCAAATCATAGACTTTTTGGTTTCCATCTGTTACGGATTGCATTAAACCCACCGCCATCGAGTGGATTCTGACTCATAGCGACCCCCCTTGGGTTTCTAAGGCTGTAAACCTTTATGGAAGTAGATTGTCTCATCTTCCTCCCACTGAGTAGCTGGTGGACTTGAACTGCTGAACTTCTGATTAGCAGCCAAATGCCTTAGCCATGATGCCATCATAGCTCCTCACAGATTGCATTATGTCCCCCAAAAAAAAGATGTACTGAAAATCCTAACCCCTATAAACCCAAAAGCAAACCAAAATACCTGTGGTTACATCTCATTTGGGAATGGGCTTTCTCTGTTATATTAATGAGGCAGTATCAGTATAGGGTGTGTCTTAAAGCAATCTCTTTTGAGATATAAAAAAGGCAGATTGGGCAAGCTAAGAATTAAGCAAGCAGAGATGGGGAAAGAAAGATTCCAGGCCACATGAAATGTCCAAGGTACCAGGAAACAGAAGGTAAACAGAGACAAGGACTTCCTCCCAGAGCCAACAAAGAGAAAAAGCCTTCCTCTAGAGTCAGCACCCTCAATCCAGACTTCTAGCCTCCGAAACTATGAGAAATTAAATTTGTTTGTTAAAGGCACTAATAAACACTACTTCTGTTACAGGATCACTAGCTAAGACAGAATTGGTACCCAGCAGTGGGGTGCTGCTCTAATACCTGTCATATAGAAGTAGTTTTGGAATCTGGTAATGGTTAGGACAACTGTAGATTGCCGTGAAGAGACTTACTAGAATCACGGATGTCAGAGGCAATTTTGGTGAGAGCTCAGAAGGAACCGAGAAGAGTCACAGAGAAAGTCTCCAACACCTTAGAGAATACACATATGGCTAGACACGTGGACCTTAAATGCGCTTCTGGTGAGGATTTGAAAGAAAATGAGTATACGTGCTGCAGTGAATTTCTTGGTATGGCTCTTCTAGCCTGCTCTTTGTGGAAAGAGCAGGTGGAACTACATAAATGTGAGGTGCTCATGGCCCACCATAAGGACTAGACAGCTTGCTAATAATAAGGTAAATAAGGTACAGGTAAATAAGGTACAGGTAAATAAGGTACATGGCACCTTTGTGGGCTGGGACTGTGCAAGTAAGGTGTAAATCAAAACACCAAACTCACTGCCGTCGAGTCAGATCCAACTCATAGCGA